GCTGAGAAGAAGAAAGCCAGGTCTCGCACCTCCCTTGGCTTCGAGGGGCTGGCTTCCGTCATCGACGACGGTATGAAGCCCCATTGAGGCTTGCACATCGCCGCGCGCGTGCCGAGGCCCTTCTCATCGATTCTGCATCGTTGCACTTGCATATGTCACCATCTTCTTCCTTCAAACAACCCATTCTCGCCAATCTCGCATGTTCATAGCCTTGCCTTTGCACCAGCCCCAACCCTTACGCTGATACCCTCTCATATACATTACACGAGTACGCTCCCGCGAGCAAATCAAGCTCTAATAGCCCCTCACTGAGTTCAGACCGCGCAGCTGCACACGGAGCGGCAAGTCAATGCATGTTCGTTCTTCAGACTGAGTGTCAACCAGCATCGTAGCGCCTCCGTCCGCTGGCGGGGGCGGGACCCCCACCTGTCAGTGGCATCGTCGTCGTCCGCTCATGCGGTCTTGAGTCCGTCAGAGCATTCATCAGCCTCGGAAGACACGGTCCAACCATTGAGCTGTGACACTGGCGAGGCGGTCCCAATCCTGCACGCAGGCGTTTACCATCCTGCCATCGGCTTGTTGAGGCGGACGGCAAGGTTCCATCAGGTCCATGCGGGTTCCGGTGCATGAAGCACGAGGGCGTGAGCGCCTAGGCAAACGGTCGGCGGCCAACCACGTCTCAGGCTGCCCTGCCCCGGCCCCGAGTCTCACAGCAGGGCAGCATGCTGCGGTCGCGCATCGCGGCGCGGAGCCATGTGCTGCTCGGCCATGCACGCGCGCAAGTAGGCCTCCAGCGCCCCCATATGCTGCTTGTCAATGGCAGGCGGCAACTCGACTTGACGCCGCGCTGGAGAACGGCTGCTGTCAGCGCACCACGGGACGGCGAGTCAACCGAATGGGTGGGCTGGCCGTTTCCCGGCGGGTCCTTGCCAATCAATTGAGCCTGTCTTGCAGGACGGAGCCTCTCCCTGTCATGCTTGCTCGCGTCCTGTTTGAACGTGTCTCTGGGCAGTGCGCTGCGACACGCACTTGACGGATGCTGAAACAGCACGGCCAGCCTAGACTCGCCTGCTGAGATGATTAAAGGTGGCCTCGCACCGGGTCGCGCCGTGTCCGCCGTGCCCGCCGACATTGGCCAGCGCCCGTCATTCCGTGCGACTGCTCCAGTCTCACGCGACTGTCTGTCGAGCACGCACGTGTCTTCTGACGACGCAGCACCGGCAACGAGCAATTGGACTGCAGCTGGCAGCCAACGGCATCTCCCCTGAGCTGCTCCTCCTGCGCTCATCAGAGCATTCTCCTCGACGATAGAGGGACCTCGCTGTCCTCAGCACTCGGCCCAGTCAGCTCCCTGGTTCCGGGGGCCAGATCGACTTCGAGAATCCCCCTTCATTTCCCTCGTGGCACAGCTGCGCCGGCCATCGTAAATCCGAAATACCACGCCGCGTGCGCACGAGGCGCTGCGGCGCAAACCGGCTAAGGCTGGCGGCCACACTTGCACCTTGACACGTCTTGTCAGGGCAAGCCATAATTGCTTGTCTGGGTCACTGTCAGTGCTGGCAGCTGTTCTCATGGGCCTTCGCAGCCCGGCTGCCTGCGACTCGGGACGAGGGTGTTGAAGTCCGCCTTGCTCACGAGCCGCGACCCACGAGGAGAGAGATCACCGGATCGAATCAATCGAGCTCAGATGTCAACCGCAATTATCCCGCGATCAGCACAAGCAGGGCGGGCCTCCGTGTCCATGGAGGAAAGGGGCGCAGGCAGCTCCAGCAGAGCCGCGCATGGGCAGCAAGATTATGCGACTCACACGGCTGGCCTCGTCCCAGGCACGGAGCGACCCTCTACCGCCACCGGGGATGACGATGTGATCACAATGGGAGGCTTTGCTGACTCGGCAGGCCTCAGCCGGACCGACTCGGTGTATTCGCTATCGCGCAGCTCACTGAGCTATCTGCTTTCGCGACTGACTTCCATGCATCTCCCAGAGGTCACAGTCCTGCAAGAGGCCGTCGAGGGGCCTGCGGCTGCGGCAGATGCGGTGCAGCAGCTTCGCAAATACTCGCTGCAGATGCAACAATGGCTCGACAAAGTCGCCGACGTACTCACCGGTCTTGATGCAGACGAAGACATTGAGTGGGCGGCCGCGGGTGGCAGGCAAAGTCTTGACGAGATTACGACGGCAGTCACAAAGTTCCAGACACTTGTGGAGGCCTACCTCGAAGCCATTGGTCGAATATCGTATCGCCGAGACTATACTGTGACAGAACCCGCTGCATTGGAGATGCTACAGGCACAAAGGAACGGAGTCTTGGACAAATGGGAGTTGGTCAAGTCGCAGCTGAGGGACGTCCGGACGCAGGTCGAGCTCGCCATCCAATGGGAGGACCTGTGGAAGGTGGTGCTCGGCGACGTCTCTACTGAGATTGATGAGATCTCGAAGCTCATATTCGAGCTCGAAGAGAAGAGGCACCAGATCATGACAATGGACTCGGATCCATCTCACGGCGTCGACCTCAACGAGCTGGAGACCATAGTTGAGGATACACCTTCCGCTCGATTGACCACGTCGCATGCGCAGGCTAGCAGAGCGCCGGGGCTCATGGCGCTTCAGGGGCTGCCACCACTAGACACACCAACCAGGTCTACTGCGGATGACATGAGCTTGCTGGAATTGTTCGCTCGCATGCAACCGCTGCGAGCATCGCTCGATTTCCTACCAATGCACCTCGACACCTTCCTGTCTCGAGCGAGGGCTGTGTTTCCGACTGCTTGCCAGGAAGTCGAAGACCGCCGATCGTACCTGGAGCGGAGGTACGAGAAGCTACAGAATGACGCCAATGTACTGAAAGGTGAGCTGGGAGAGGACCGTTGGGTCATCGTCTTCCGCAATGCCGGCGCACAAGCCAACAAGATGTTTGATACCATTGAGCGGAGCATCGGCAAGCTTCAGGACGCCATCAGCCAAGGAGGTATGGGTATCAATGTTACCACCATCATGACGAGGATAGAGAACTTCGAGGCGAAGAGAACGCATTACAAGCCGGCCATACAACGGGTACTGGGAATCATTGAGACAGGCATCAAGAACCGCCTCACCGTCAATGGCGAAATCATCCGCCTCCAGACTGACTTGCGAGCGCGCAATGAGGCCCTCGAGCGCAGCATCACTGCCATGCAGTTCGTGCTAAGTCAGCTTAATGGCGAGCGTGGTAGGCAGCAGCTCAGAGATTCAGTCTCCAGCATTCTCACGCCTGAGAGCCCCCGTACGATCGGCACGCCAGATACGTCGCCTACGTCCTCGATCGTCCTATCGGCCGAGCGGACCGCGACAACTAGCCGCCGAGGCAGTTCTACCAGTTCGAAGGGCAGAGCGCCTGCGCCAACTCCGGGTCGCATGCAGCACTGTGCGAGCACCTCGTCAGTCAGCACGCCAACCAGCCTCAAACGTCAATCGGCTATCCCACGCCCAGGGAGTCGTCTTGCCGTCGGCCACACCAGCTCGAGGCTACCGAGCCGTTCCCCGACTCCACGGTCGCACTCACGTTTGTCACAAGTACCAACGCAAGTCGCCAGCCCCGCCAGGCCGCGTTGGAACAACAGCTCAAACACAAACGATCTGCAAATAGGGCATAACTTCAAGCCCCTGAGCTTGACAACGCCGTCTCCATACCGAAAGGAAGTACCGGTCTTGCGGTCCCGTGGCTCCGCACCATCTGCCAGTACAGTGTCCTCGCCGCAACGGAATCGCTCGGTCCCACCTCCAAGTCCAATCACAAGACGCTTCCAGCCACCTGCGCCCACAACGCCTTCGCAATCCTCAAGAGCGTCGTCAAGTCTCGGGTTTCGCTCCGGCACCCGCGTGCCGGCACGGACTTCCGTTGTGTCGTCCAGCATAGAACAGAGTCCCACCCGTCGTCAGAATGCACTCAACAATGGGCAGGCCAACTCAGGTGTACTTGATCCACCGCCGTACGCCAAGCTGCGCACGCAGGGTTCGATATCGAACAGCGGCGGTGGCATGGGCATGCCCTCGGTCACACGATCAGGGCATCGGAAGAGCCCCTCCGTTGCCACCAATCGCACGCAGGAGAGCAGGCGCGCATCAGTCGATGACAGGAGACCAGGCAATGCCACCGCTAGTGAGCACGGGCGAGCGTTGCATGCGCGACCTGAAACATCGCTGGGACATACGAGTCGGCGGCTCAACCTCATACCCCTTCCAACAACCTCTAGAACCCGCCAAACAGCCTCCACAAAGAATTTGCGAGACACGAGGCCCCCTTGGCGTTGACGCCGAAACTGAGCCGTACTGAGGATTTTTTCGCGCGCCTGGCATGGCAGGCATGCCTACCAACCACAAAGTATTTGGGCACGGCCCGCCCATCACGTCTCGCTCGTCATATGGATGAGTTCTATCGGCAACGCAGCTGGCCTGCCACCGCAGTCACATATACAGATGACGTGAAACGGGCGATCAAGCGAGAAGTTGGCGCCGCGTGTCCCTGTCGCCGCGGGATGGCTTGCGATGCGGCTTGCCGATAGTCATCAGTCTCGGCCCGATCGCCGTCAGAATGCTTGGGCTGACACCATCACTGCCGGGCTTGGACGCATATTATCAGCATATTTCAGAGATACCTTTCCGTTTGGCTATTCAGGACGCTGCTTTTGCTCAATCTCAATACTTGGAAGCTCTTTGACGTGGGCAACCAGTTGCGGCCCGATGACTGCGACCTTTGCAGAATTGATATCAATTGTCGTGTAGCAACTGCGAGCACAATTGCTTTGGGGCTCATGGCAGCACATGAGGTTGAGGCGGCTCTCATCCATGTGACTGATGCGCACTGGGACTCGTCTTTTCAGAGCGGTCGATCGCCATTCAATGCCGGTATACCTACTTTGCTCGTCCATGGCAGATTTGACAATTGTCGCGTCTTGCTGCTGAGTAGCCGTGTAGATGCTCGCTGCCGTCAACCGAGTGCCGGGGCTGCAAAAAGAGGACAAGGTCGAACTGGGAATCGAACCCAGATCACCAGAACGATCAATGCGAACTTGAATCAGAATCTGGTGTGATAACCATTACACTATTCAACCGTGATGTTATACGAGCGATACGATGGCGATGATGGTTGCCAGTGGAGATCGCGGCGTCAAGGGCCGCTAGTTGCCCTTGACTGAGTAGCTAGATCGCTCGGAATGTGGTGTGGTCGCCGTGCTGCGGTCAGTCCATGCCCCAGCCTTTGACGCGACTGAAGATGAACGGTCGGTCGTGCCGGAGTCCGAATTCGACCCAATCATCGGTAATGCTGTCGTAACTCCAGAAGCTGCGCCAGATGAGCCCCGTGTTCTTGGCCACGTTCGTGGACCGTGAATGGGCGGAGCGTAGCGATAGGTGCATTCTGAACGTGTACTTTGGGTGCACGCCCTCTGTCTCGATTGTCACGTCGCGAGGGTCTGGGGCGGGACAGCCAGCCTTGACTTGCTCCTCGTGCTCGGAAGTGGGCGGGGCATGGTCGTCGAACGGCAGCGTTGCATGCTCAGGGTTAGAGTCCGGCGCGAGCCCAGCAACGGGGGTGTCGAGCCGCCAACGGCCTCGCAGAGCCAGTCGTAATGTGTCCTGGACGGACGTCGGAAGCGAGACAGAGGCCGAAGAGTGATCGTCCGTAGGCGGAGCCTGAGGCTGCAGGCGCCGCGCGGTCAGGCGGTGCTGCACGCGCGCTTGAGCTTCTAGCGAGTCAAGATTCTCGCGCGTGACGTGGCGAACGATTTCGACTGGCTCCGCCGTTGTAACAAGGTGTATAGCTGTGCCATCCGGGTAGAATCGCAGATACCGGTAGTATGTGACGACGTGGATGGGCGCGCCAGCGGAGACGTTCGTTAGATCTGCATGCGCTCCTGGTCTGTTGTAGTTGATCGTGCTGATGTATATTCCTGTGAAGCGGATACGGGGCAGCAGCTGATAGGCTTCACGCCAGGACTGGTGTGGAGGGGGGATCGCATGCTGCAGCCGTTGTTTCGCGTGACTTGTCGGCGGCGTCTGCGCGAGGGGTTGAGCTATCTGGTACAACGGCGAGCCGTTGATGGTCGTGCGCCAGCGGTACTGCATGCTCCCGAGACCGAATCGGCGGGACAGGCACAGTGCTTTGTAGACGGACTGCTCGTTGGAGACGTGCCAGCTCATGCGCTTGCACACGAGCGCGACTCGCTTCAGCATGGCGGGGTCCTCTTCCGCGACGAGGCACAGGATCTGCGCGAGGATCTCGGTCGGCATGTGGGCGATCGGGCATGCAAGCGGCGGGGCGCCCTCGATGGGGGACTCTGCTGGCGAGATCGGGACGTGGGCGAACGAGGCGACAAGGGCCGCAGTCGATAGCACGGGCGCCTTGTCTGCCGTCCGTGAGCTTGCCGGCGTTTGCGAGGACGTATCGCCGCCCTCATTGGGTCGCTGGAGTGTCCGCGCATCGTGTCCGTTTCTTGGGAAGTGTTTCTGGCGATAAGCCTTGTCGACGTCGCTATCTAGCTGCAACCACGCACTCGACGTCAGTACGTCCTTCAGAGCTGTGCTATCGCCGACGCGCAAGACCTACTCTGTACGCTTTGCGATACAGGTCAAGACTCGTGCCTAGGCTGCCCTGTGCCTCCTTTGCCACGGCCGCCTCGAAATGGTCCAGCGCTGTCACCGGCGTGGTCGCCTGGGCCTTCGACGGTCCATCATCCAGCCTCAGGGCTCGCACGCCGTTTTCGAGAGAGTCGTTGGCGTCCGCAGCAGGGAGTGCGACTGCGGTCGCAACGGTGGCAGCCTCAGGCGGCCCTGCATCCTGGCCCCCGACGACTTCGCTGCAACGGGCGCCCCTCTGCTGCTGCTGCTGCTGCTGCTGCTGCTGCGGTTGCTGGCCCTGTCGCGCATGCACTTCCTCGCGCCACCTGCGCCGGAAAGACTCGAGCTCAGAGGACTCGGCCATGCCTGGCGCGCGCAGTGCGGTGCTCTCAGTCTCAGGGTGCAGCGCACTGCATGCTCACAGCCAGGCAGCGGCGTGCCCGCCATGTTGTTGCTCGCCCAAACGGTCTTCAGTCAACGGCGCATATCGTCAGGCCGAGCGTGCCATGGCGGCACGCTGACCCCACTGTATGCCGGAGCCGATGGGTAAGACATGCTGTTCCTCGCCTGGTACAGGTACGATAGCAGGGCCACTCGCCCGCCCGCGCGCCCGCCCGCCCTGTGAGCGCGGACGGCAAAGCTCCCGCCTGATAGGCTGTCTGCCTGCCGGGCCCGACCAGAGACCGAAGAACGCTGGGCCGATCGCGACGCTACGGTACTGCTTGTGCGGTTTGATGTCCAGCGCCTCAGAACAGCTGCCGTAGGGCGCGGTGCGCAGGTCCTTTTCAGCATCAATCTGATGGCCACCAAGTCTGTCGTACGCCTGTATCATGGGCAGGCCAACGCAGGTCAATCATGTCAAGTGCAAGGGACTGGGTGCGCGTGACTGTGGTCGCCACTAGACACTGCCTGGTGGTAGATGCACGTAGCGCTGGTCACCCAATAGCTTTCTCAGTGCATGCTGTAGCTGCCTCGCCGCACGTACTCACACCGATCCAATGCAGTTGTGGTGTATTAGCTCTTCAGAGCAGTGAGGAAGAACGCCACGCCGAGCTACTACTGGTCTCAGCACGGTAGAAATCAGTCTCATCGCAGGCCTCCTGGCTGTCGAGCTGCGCGAGGCCACTCTGGCAGATTCTGGCTCACTTGCGAGCGTCAGGACGTCGCATCTCCGCCCAACAGTCAACCGATTGCAGACTGGACTGGTCCATCGCATCGCACGCCTGCACACGCGCGAACCCCGATGGCTGTCGGAATTCCCACGCTGACGAGATCGACGTGCAGGATCACCACTGGCTGGCGTTGTGAGACTGGAGCCTGCTGACGAAAGCCCTGCATGGCGCGGCAGACCACTGCATGGCATGGCACGCTATGGCACGACATGGCATCGCATGGCATGACACGGGCCGTTGACGGCCATCGCGTCCACGCAGGCCAAGCCAGTCGACCGACTGCTAGGTAGCCATGTGCTCGTGATGCGCTGCATTTTCGCACACTTGGAGGAGCCATGACACCAGAGCGCTGCCTGGCCTTCTTGCTCCCACCAAGTCGCAGCACTCGCCCGGCGATTGTAGCTTGCCATGCAGGCAAGCTATGCCACAGCTAAGCGTCGCACAGAGCTGAGCTGAGCTGAGCTGAGCTCAGCTACAGCTTCAGCTTCAGCTCCGGCAGCCACAGCAGCAGCAGAGCTGCAGCTTCTGTCCCTCCCAACACGACCACAGGCGAGCGGGGACCTGTCTGGACTGCGACCAGCCAGGCTCGGCCCACACAGGGAGTGGACTGCCCGTCTCTCCTCGTCGGCCTTCCGCCTCCTTCACGGAGGCGCGCGGCCCAGCAGGCCGAGTTTCGCCTCGAAGCTCAGCGAAGAATCGCGCGATGGAGCTCGCCCGCGACCAGTAATTGGCTGCGGCACGGGCGTTTGGGTCGTCAGATCTGTAACCTCTCTTGGCAGACCATGGTTCCTCTGTTATCCATGCTCGCTGGCGCTGGCAATTGAGCCCGCGCTACTGGCTCACACGCTTAGCAACAGCAGGGCCAGGCAGGCCGCGATCGCGAGGGATGCATGCTGCGCTTTGCCGGCGTCTCATGCCCTCGCTCTCCCGGCGCAGCGATCGTGCAATGTTGCACGCGGCTTGCGAGGCTGCTCAGGACGGACCGCAGCAGGTCCCGCGGACACGGTACGGTAGACGAGACGAGGAGAGGGGGGGATACAGCCCAACGATCTTGCATGCATGCATGCTGCAAGTCCATGCTTGCCCTCGTCGCTGTGTATGCGCCAATGCGAGCTCTGGACGGTACCGCGATACACTGGCTGTGGCTGGCCTCTCGATAGTCGCACGGTTCGTTGCCCTTGCTTGCAGAATCTCCAGGCGTTGCTCCCCATAAGGCTCGCTGGCACTGGCACTGGCACTGGCACTGGCACTGGCACTGGGTGGTTAATATTATTTATTAATATTAAATTTATAGTCAAATCCCGCTTGTAAAAGTGTAAAATAATTTCTATAAAG